CGTTGAAATGTCGGTGGAGCATTCATGAGACCCATTGACAATACTTCAAATTGATAAAGACCATCTTGAGTACAAAAATCTGTTTTTTATTTATCCCGATCTTGAATTGGAATTTGAAAATATCCCAACTTTAAGTCCAATTTAGTGAACCACGTATGCCCACCCAACCGTTGCAAAAGCTCCTCTGTTGTTGGTTGAGGATACGAATCTTTTCGTGTGATGGAATTCAATTTTCGATAGTCAACAAAGAATCGGAATTCGTCATTGGGCTTTTTTAACAATATTGCTGGCGACGACCAAGGTGAATTTGATGGTATGATAATACCACTCTTGAGCATCTTGTCAATCTCCTGTTGAAAATCTTTACGTTGCTGAATTGTTTTAAAATATGACCTGCCACTGATGGGTGGATGGTTGCCAGTGTCGATGACATGATGAATTGAAGTGATGACTTTTGTGGGTGCTGTATCAAACAATGAACTGTTTTTCTCTAAAATGGATATCATTACAGCATGTTGTTTAGGATCAGTAAGATGACTAGTAAGAGATCTAATCGCCTCTTGCACCGAATTACTTATATTCTTGGCGTTCATAAAATCATCGCCTGGTTGGCTGATTCTTTTTTATATGGGTAAAATACACGTGTTCATGGATAACCTTGATAATGTACCAATTTTCATGTCTTTATATAATATTATCGGATGTTCTGATGTATTCACTAAGTTCAATCTTATCATCCTATTATTAACTCTCACTAGTCCATCGTCTACTGATATGCCTTTCTTTTTGTTGAGAATCATGGTCCAAAGCTTTAAAATAGAGATGATTAGCGTCAATTAAAGAAGTTTTTACTTTAACAATACAGTTCGTTCCTGGAAAAATTTTATATTCTTGAGCTACCTTGACATCGACCGGTACATCTTCATCGAACTTTACTATAATTTGTTGTCGCCGATAATGAATTCGTAATTGTCTTTTTCTGGGCAAAATATCCACGTGATAATATTTAATCCAATCCATGCCAAGAATGAAGTCAGCAGCTAAATCATCGACCACCATTACTTTTACTCTTGTTTTGATATTATTGATTTTAGTCCGCATGTTTATTGAGCCATATTGCCAAAATGTTGTTTTACCATCGCCCAAGGTAATATCTCCCATAGTACCATATGTGTGATGATAATAATTTACACGAAGTAATGTCGATCTTTTGATCAAAGATGTTGTGGCACCGGTATCAATCATTGTTCGAATACACTTTCCATTAATTATTGTATTGATGAAAAGTAAGCTTGACGGATATTGATGTTGCTTGGAGGCACTACCATCATGTGACTCCATCAATAGTTTTTTGAAAATCTACAATGACGTGCGATATGTCCACTCTTTTTGCATCGTAACATTGTTGTTGATGATTTTGTTGTTGGTGATATTGTTGCGATGGGTATTGTTGTTGTTTTCAGTAATTTTGGTGTTGTTGCTGATCTGGATAATGTTGTATTTGGTACTCTTGGTGCGTTATTGGAGTTTTAGTATAGTTATTTGCAGTATCGTTTTGAAATCGAGCTTTTGTGTACAGCGCACAGTGACAGTTTTGCAGTGGTGACGGTGATCTCATTATTGTCAAATTATTTGTTATTTGTTTCTCATTTATGCTTGAAAGCTGCAAATTCTGTGCTTCTGTATCGATCGCATAATCAAGACTTTCTTCTTCTTGTGCTATTTTAAGAAATTCGGCTGGAGTATCTCGATTTTTTCTTGATACTTCCTTTTTCAATGATAGTTTTAATCCGGTTTTAAGATAGCTAACCTTCAATGAATCACTCATCTGATGATCCATAATATAAAATAGTTCCATCATTTCACTATAGTAATGCATCACGGTTTCATTTAACCCTTGTCGTCGCTGGCTCACTTGGTTTATCGCTACTTCTTTTGCAAAAGATGATGAAAAGGTTTTTACAATAGCTTCACAAAAACTGGGCCATGTACCTAATCTTGCACTATTATTAATGAACCATTTTCGCGCATCATCCATCAAATACGTTTGAATAACAGATAATTTTTGATCATCATCATATTTCATCACATTCAACTCATTGGTAATGCCATTTAGCCATTTGATGACATTTTCGTTCAACTTTCCACTAAATAACGGTAATTGATCCAATTGTTTGCTGATATGCATCGTCAACGATTTCTGTGCCATTCCAGATGATAACGATTGTTGAGCAGATAAATTTTCGTTTGTTCGAACGTCGATTGCTCTTCCAATGTCTTGTTCACTAACTGGATTGATCTCTATCAAATTTTCACGTTTACTTTCTTCTTCCAATTGCTTTTGTTGCAATCTTGTTAATACCATAACACAATATTACTTCTTCCGATTCCCAGCCAGTGCACCAATTGTGAGATCTTATTTCACTTCTAGTTTATTTGTATAACTGTATATAAGGATGAACGAATAATCCACGTAACAACATAACGCTCTATATATAGAAGTGATAGAATTGGAAATTTCCAATAAACTATGAACAAGGAAAATCCATAGAACAACATGAAAGATACAGCGATAGAAAGAAATGGAAAATTCCCAAGGGATGAAAGCAGGGTAAAATTCCAACATGCATGAATAACAAGAAGAACATAAGTGGATTGTTTATAATCCTGTTGATACAGAAAGACATTCCTTATGACTTCATCTTAATAATATGTAGGTCATAACATTAACATACTTATTTTGACTGTATAGATAAACAAACCCGATGAAAAACTGGAGCAGAATGAATTTTATATCTTTTTGCTTCTGTTAATGATGCGAGAAACATAATAGCTTGATGAACGACTGGTTCTGCCAGTTAAGATTAGAGATCTGCAGAGTCACATTTTTTCTTTACTCTGACTTCACTTCTACCTGAAAAATTTATCAAGATTCCGATTTCTAAAAATTTCGAAATTCCTTTTTGTAAATTAATGATAGCTTACTTGTACGGAAATATTATATCGCTTAACTTCATAGTACTATTACAAATTAAATTTTATTTCAGAGTATTATGAGCGAACAGACAAGTATCTTTTATATGAGAGAGAAGAATTAAAGTTGATTGAAGGTCAAATTCTATTATCGATCAAATCTATTCGTAGTGAGTACTAATTTTATGTCATGGGAAGATATTTTAAACTTAATTAAAAAACCAGGCGACTATCTTAAACTATTATGTGAAGCAAACACAAAACATAGGTGAAGCTCACGATAACTTCCACGAGGTTTTCATGAAGGTCACCTTCTTAAGAAAAACATTTATTTCAAAAGTGCGTGAAGCTGAAAATATATCTAACCACATCAGCGGAGATATCGAGTGGTGCTGAACTTTTCTCCTTACTAGCCATTTTTCGTAACTAGTCCAATGTAGATGTTTTTTATCTTTTTACTATTTTCCCGTTTCATGCTATTTTCCTTTTGGATTGAAAATTTTCGTCAACTGGAAGCTACAATTCCGACTACGGGAACACTTACTCCGCGTCGGCATTGATGCCAAGTATAAAAACTCCGAAAACCTTAGACTGAACATGGACGTGAATGTTACTCTTCGTTTTAGCAACAGCTACACCAACAAAACATGACATACATATAGGCTCACATCCACCACAACACTCCACACAGACACCCACACGAGCATCTCTTTTATGATTCATGCTCCGGAAGATATGCGCACTTCATCAAGATCTACTCTCAATGGCCTATGCATTTGAATTACCATTGAATTTTTGTACTCGATGATTTCCGTTATCGACGACATAGAGATTGCCGTGTCGATCGAATGACAAACCGATGGGCCAATTGAGTTGGTTCGATTGTCCTCCTTCACCGTTTCCACCAACAATGACACTTCCCTGTGTGGCTCCTTTGGGCCAACGCATGATTCGACAATTCCCCCAATCAGCCACATAGACAGTGCCCAATTGATCGGCAACGACTCCTCGAGGATAATACAATTGTGTAAGACCATTTCCTTGTTCTTGACCACCAGCCACGACAATGCCTTGTTTTGCACCTTCCACCCATTTCATCACACGATCATTTCCCCCATCAGACACGTACACTGAATGATCTCGATCGACGAATACGTATTGTGGGGAAGGGAGTTGATCGAGACGATTTCCACTTCCATTGCCACCTGCAACCACTGTTCCTTGAGATTCTCCTCTTCGATATCGTCTCACTTCATGTTTTCCAACGTTAGTGACATAGAGAGATCCATTCTCGTCCATTGTCAAACCCACACAAGCGATGTTGGAAATGATCGTTTCTCCACTTGTCCCATTTCGACGAGGCCATCGAACCACTCTTGCATTCGAACAATCACAGATGATGAGACTATCTCTCTCTTTGTCGACAATCACATCTCTTGGGTTAGATAACTGATGAGCCCCACTTCCTTGTCCATTTCCACCGGCAACCACTTGGCCACTCGTCGCACCCCATTTCCATTCCACAATACGGTGATTCGACCATTCAGCGACATAGATTGTTTGATAATCATCCACATACAAACCCCATGGGTTAGAGAGTTGATTGATTCCATTGCCTTGCCGATTTCCTCCAACCACAGTGATACCATTATGTTGCCATCGAGCATTCGGATGAATGCCAGTCGAAACGAAGCATACTGGAATGAAAAAGAAAATGTTGAAGTGTGCATAAGCGTTGACATTATTGAGTGTTGTCGGTCACTTCATCTAAATAGAACGTTAGATAGTTTTGATGATTTTTATGTTGGACTTTGAAGTCTATCAAATTCTCTACTGCTAGACCTATGAATCCTGTAGTTTTGTTAACTTTTAAAATGGTAAATACTTACTGATCTTACTCTGATTTATTCATTGCATGTGGAGTTTTTATTAATATTCTTTTAAGCATGATCCTTATTTTTTGTTCTGAAGTAATCAAGGCATCATATTAATGATTTCAGC